CAAGCCCGACGACGACGAAGCCAAGATCGACTGGAAGGAGCGCGTGCAGGCTGCAAAGTCGCTGCCCGCGCCAGCCGTTTGCACACGCGCTTCACGCTCGGCGGGGATGTACAGCGGCGGCTATGGTGGCGAGTACGTGCAGGCCATGCTGCACCGGGTTGGCGCGGCGGCAAATGCGCTGGGCCAACACGTGATGGCGTTTCCCGGTCATGCTGCCCAACACCACCAGCCCCATTACCACCCACTACCACCACCGCCTCAACCGCAGCAACAGCAACAGCAACAACAACAACAACAACAGCAGCCACGAACGTCTGGGCACTGGAAGTTCTCGTATGCGACAAACGGGCGGGCGATATGCCGCAAGTGCTATCAGAACATCCCCGTGCGATCCGTCCGCGTCGGCCATATCAGCGGGGCAACAACACGTGCGTACGCCGTTGTTTCTTTGTTGTGTGTGTGTGTGTGTGTGTGTGTGTGTGTGTGTGTGTGCGTGCGTGTGCGTGTGCGTGTGCGTGTGCGTGTGCGTGTGCGTGTGCGTGTGCGTGTGCGTGTGCGTGTGCGTGTGTGTGTGGCGACTCTCACCCTTGCCCGTTGCGCATGTCCTGAGCAACGCCTCCCACCCTCTCCCGACTCCTTGCTCATGAATTGGACGTGCCACTTGTGCTACTCGACAGGGTATTTTCATCTGCATTGTGGCGTTCACTTGATGATGCAGCTGCGACTGCAGCCAGGGCCACAACAACTGGCTGCCCTGACACAAAGCGATCAGGTGCGTGTGGTTGTACGTTTGTGTATGCTGTGTGCGTTACGTGTCACGTGCGTGTGCGTGCTCTGTGTGCGTGTGTGTGTGTGTGTGCGTGTGCGTGCTCTGTGTGTGTGTGTGTGTGTGTGTGTGTGTGTGTGTGTGTGTGTGTGTGTGTGTGTGCGACGTGTGTGTGTGTGTGTGTGTGTGCGACGTGTGTTATGTGTGTCCATTCACTGCACACTGCACACTGTACGCGATGCCTCATCCCAGGCCACCCTTTGCCCAAAACCCCGTTCACTCACCCAAACCATTCGCGTGTGCTCTGACAGCGCAACGTCCAAGATCTGTTCCGATGAGTGCATGGCGTCCTGCGACAAGAGGCACGCCGCATCCCCGCTCGCTGCCTCTGTCGCTGTCTCGTCTTGGTTCCTGTAATGCTGCTGTAATGTAAACTTGATTGACTCTGGTGTTTGTTTCGGGCGTGTAAACTAAAGTGGGCGGCTGGCGCTACACCGCTTCCCTCCTCCTCCTCCTCCTCCTTCTTCGCCGCTTGCCTGCTCCATGTTTGTTTTTGTTCTTGTTTCTCCGACTACGATGACTTGTAAACGTATCAACACTTGTGTGCTAGTCGGCATCAGTGGACGAATGGATGTGTGTGTGTGTGTGAGTGTGTGTGAATGAGTGATTTGCCATCCCAATTGGTTTCATGGTCCTTCCACCTTCCACCACACACACACACACACACACACACACACACACACACACACACACACACACACACACACACACACACACACACACACACACACACACACACACACACACCTACACACACCACCCAAGAAACAAAGTCCAGATCAGATCATGGCGGGTGGTAAAATTTGCTGCGATGTTCCTAATTTTCATCAATCCACAACTCTCAACGACTTCTTGGCATTCAAATCAACAAGAAGAACAACACCAACAAAGACGCCACCAACAAAAGGACACCCTTCCCTTTCTGTGCCACACACACCCCTTCAGAAGATACAGAGAGCCAAGCACAATCAAGCGAGCAAGGGGAGGATGGTGGCGTTGGTGCGCGCCTTGTACGATTATGCAGGCGATCCTTCAAGGTAACAACACAACACCCCAATGCACGCGCAGCTTAGCCAATGTTGCATGCGACCGACCAACACAACAAACAATGCAGCGGCTTGTGGTCATGTTTGTGTTCTGTGTCTGCTTCGTTTTGGCCGGGTGTTGTCCTTCCGTTTTGACGCATGGACTTCCTGTGTTGACCCCTTTTGCCCTGCAACTGACCTTGTCTTCCCGCTCTCACACGTTTGTCGTTCCTGCCCATATGCGCCACCGACATCCCATTCCAACCTCTACTTTGTCGTATCCGCCTTTTGCTGACGCCCATGTGCCTCCTCCTCCTCCTCCTCCTCCTCCTCCTACTGCTGCTGCTGCTGCTGCTGCTGCTGCTGACATGGTTGGCACAGCAACACCCCGGCGTTTGCCAAAGGGGAGATCATGACACTGATCACACAGCACCCAAACGGGTGGCTGGAGGTGGAGAAAACAGATGGCACACGCGGGTATGTCTCCCCAGCATGGGTGGAGAGCGTCGCCAGCAATGAGAAAACCGCGGCTGCAGAGGAGGAATCCAGCCCCGAGCCAACGCCCGACGAGCAGCACGGCGCTACTGCAGCACAAGAAGGTGAACAGGCCCAGAAAGTCCACGCGCAAGAGGAGCACGCGCCAACGTCGTCAGCCTCGACGCAGGGCAGCAGCGCGAGGAGCAGCGAAGCAGGCAGCATGGACCACGCGCCACGTGACCAAGAAGACGCACACGACCCCAACAAGGCCACGGAACAGGGGAGCCAGCCGTTGAGCAACGGCGACACGCAAGTCCACTCGCCATCAAAGCCGGTCTCCGCTTCCTCCAGCAGCAACACCCTGACGGTGGGCGACGCCAAACCCCAGCTCGAGCGCAAACCCACGGACTGGGGCAACCTCACGCCAGACACCCGCCCGCTCACCTTGCGGCAGGCACGCGCGGAGAAGCCGGCACCACCGGTCCGCAAGTCGTCAAATCTGACGGTGAAGCTGGAGACGAGTCACGAGGACGCAGATGCAAACGAGTCCACGACGGACGACCTTGTCCTGTATGGCCACGACGACGACGACGACGACAATGATGTGAACGTGGACAGGAACAGAGGCAGCCGTGTTGGCAGTGGCGATGGTGGTGATGGTGGTGATGGTGGTGATCAGCATGCGCAGAGGAGTGATAGACAACGACTGGCGCAAGCACAGGATGAGAAGCAGGGTCATGTGCACGCGGCGATTGCCAACGCGGTGCACGGTGAGGATGACGTGGCCGAGGACAGCGATGACATGTACGACAACATCCACGATGGCGAGCTCCAGGAGCAGCCGGAATCCGACGCGGGCGCACACGCGCACGGCCGAGGGGACGCACAGCCGCCGATCAAGCCGCCGCGCCTTCACATCACAGACGACGACACAACATGTGACACTGATGGCGGCGGTCGCAGCACGCGTGGTGCTGATGATAACAGCGATGCACACACGTCTCAACACAACCACGAACAGCAGCAGCAGCAGCAGCAGCAGCAGCAGCAGCAGCAACAGCAGCATGTGAGCCATCGTCGTGATGACAGCTGGAGCGACACGCGTTCAGCACCGGGTCGCGCTGGCGTGAGCGGCCTCTCCGTGGATGTGCAAGCAGCAGCGGCGGTGACAGAGCAGGCGCCAAAGAGTGCACCTGTTCGTCCGCGCCCAAAGCCGCGACCAGGGAGGCCCGGGCACAGCCGGCAGGGGTCGCACGCAGACAACATCGCACTGCACCCGGCAGATGCAGACGAGGTGCCTCACGCGCCCGTGTGTATTGTGTGTGCGAAATGTGTGTGTGTGTGTGTGTGTGATCGTGTGTGTGTGTGTGATCGTGTGATCGTGTGTGTGTGTGTGTGTAGGGGGCCTGTTTGTGATTGCGTCATCATGTGTGTGTATGTGTGTACTGATGCTCATGCGTGCAAGGGGCTGCGCCCTGCGTGCAAGGGGCTGCGCCCTGTGGTACACCAACTCTCCAAACTTACACCCTCACAATTGCATCAAATCAGCATGGCGCCCGTCCTCCCATCTCGCCGAGGCCAAAACGCGCATCTGTGCACGGCGCTTTCCATCAGCAGCTCGAAGCAACGCTTAAGATTGGCGTAAAGGCGAGTCAGCCAACCCTCACGCGGCTATCGCTGCTAACGCTGCTACTGATGCTGTCGCTGTCGGTGTTGGGGGGAGGCAATGATGTTGTGAGACTATGTGAAAGTGTGTCCGCGTGTGCCTGTCCAATGGTCGCCATTCATGCCTAATGTGCTCGGCCTGCAATTTCTCTTCTTGTTTGACAGCCTCCTCGACCGCCAGGACGAACAGTCGTGACCGAAGGTTAGTTTGCTTGCAGGCACGTCCTTTGCTGCTCGTGTGTTTCGCTGTAACACACACAACTGCTTCGCCACCCAACCCAACCTCACCTCACCTCACTTCACATCGCGACCATTACCACCACCGCCCCTATTTCGACGACTCGCAGCACCGCCCCCACCATCGTCCTCGGGTGCGGCAGAGGAAGAACGGCCTGTTCCCTTCAGAAAAGCGCCCGCACCGCCGCCACCAGCGGTGAGCATGGCAGGACCAACAGGGCTGGGGTGATGCTGTGTTGTGTGGTGTGACGACAGTTTCATGTGTTGGCGCACATGATTGTTTTGCTTGTTTCGTGTGCACCCAGCAGGCTTGCGTGCGTACACATGTACGCGTGCACTCTTGCGTGCGTGTATTCTCGCGTGCGTGCGTATGTGCATGCATCGTGCCACCACCATCATGTATCCTCATCTCAGCTGGTTGGTTGTCGTACATGTTAGGTGCGGTCGCGGCGGCCAGAGTCGATGGTCTCTGGACCTGCGAGTAGACAGTCTCCACACTCAACATCGCCGCACCTCCCAGCTGAGGTGAGGGTAACGCCTGTGCACTGTGCACGTGAAATCGCTTGTTTCGTGCACACTCGCGCATGCAGCAGCTGAAGCGTCCTTTTCTTGTACATTGCCTCCTTTGTCCTTTGCCTCGTCGCTCCTTTGATCACACACTAACCATTTTGTTTTTCCATTTCTTTATGGGGTATTGCCTTCCCACCCCACACTCTCTTTGTCTTTGGGAACGGAATTGCTTCGCGAGCAGTCTGCGGATCACAGCGCCACCGCATCGCCGCACCCGCCAGACGCACACGAGCACGCACCGACAACGGCCCACGATGAACACCACCACCACCACCACCAGCAGCAGCAGCAGCAGCAGCTAGCCCGTGCGGATACGGTAGATGAAGATGATGTTGATGGTGTTGATGATGATGTTGATGATGATGACGGTGGCGATGGTGACGATGTCGGTGTCGATGAGGAGAGTGGTGCTGCGATGAAATCGGTTGTGAATGTGACAGTTGAAGAGGCAGGCGAAGGGCATCAACAGCAACTGCCGCAGCAGGAAGAGCAAGTCATTTCGCTCAAGGGCCACTTGGAACGGAAGCTCATCCGAGAGGTGTGCGTGTGTGTGTGTGTGTGTGTGTGTGTGTGTGTGTGTGTGTGTGTGTGTGTGTGTGTGTGTGTGTGTGTGTGTGTGTGTGTGTGTGTGTGCGTGACCCTTGTCGCGGTTGGCGCTCGCCACGACAATCGTGCATCTTACATACTTGTCTGTTTGTGCTCTCGTGCGTACGTGTGTGTGTGTGTGTGTGTGTGTGTGTGCACGCGCACACCACAGGGCGGGAAAGATGTGCGGCGGCGCCAGTGGCACAAAGTGTATGCGGCTGTAGAGGGCCCGTTGCTCGTCCTCTTTGGCAGCAAGAAGGACTTTGAGAAGGTATCAAGGATGGTCGCTGATGTTATTGTTGGCAGTGCTCACATGTGTTGTTACGCGGGCGTGACGGCTGGGTGTACTGGCTTTGTTAGCTGCGAGATGAATGGGGTGGATGAATGGGTGGGATGGAGGCTGCCAGCTATGATTCACATTTGCTCGTGAATGTGTAGAACCAAGCACACAATCACACATGCACGATATCGCGCACGCGCGCAACTCACATGCACATGACGCTGGACCACTGCAGCAAAAGAAGCCGACGTCTGTTCTCGATCTGATGCGCAACGACGTGCTGGTCGATGAGGAGTACACGAAGCGCGATTACGTCTTCAAGCTCGAGGGGCCACAGAACAAGTGCGTTGCTGTTGTTGTTGTTGTTGTTGTTGTTGTTGTTGTTGTTGTTGTTGTTGTTGTTGTTGTTGTTGTTGTTGTTGTTGTTGTTGTTGTTGTTGGTGTTGTTGTTGTTGTTGTTGTTGTTGTTGTTGTTGTTGTTGTTGTTGTTGTTGTTGTTGTTGTTGTTGTTGTTGTTGTTGTTGTTGGTTATCTTCCTTGAGTCTCCTCGCCATTCCCGCACTCGTAGCCAGTCTCACACAAGCACCACGACTTCATTTATGTGTGTGTACAGGATGCTGTTCCAGGCTGGCTCTGAGGGCGAGCGCGTGCGGTGGCTGCAGGCGATCAACCGCGTCAAGACAGGCAGCTCAGGCGCCGGCCCAGGTTGTGCATGTATGCATATGTGTGTGTACGTGTTGAAGAAGAAGAGGGCTGCATGTGAATGTGAATGTGTGCGTGTTGTGTGTTGTGTTGTGTGTGTGTGTGTGTGTGTGTGTGTGTGTGTGTGTGTGTGTGTGTGTGTGTGTGTGTGTGTGTGTGTGTGTGCAAGTGCTCCTCCCACCCCGTCCGTGTTCCTGAGGCCCTTGTTGTGCACTCACATCCTCGCGTGTGCACTGCTCACAATTGTGTGATCATCTTCGCAGCCGTTGACGACCGACAACGTGCACACACGTTCGCTGGATCGCGACGCGAGAAGCGCAGCCCAAAGCAGCGCAACAAGCGCCACTCCTACATGTGCGTTTCACACACGCACATGAGTGCTTCTGTGTGTGTGTGCATGTGTGTGAATGTGTGTGTGCGTGTGCGTGCGTGCATGGGTGTGTGAATGTATGTGTGAATGTATGTGTGTGAATGTGTGTGTGTCATGAAGGTTACATTCGTTGCGTTTTGACACCCCAGCTCTCGCTCTGTTCCCGTCCCCATCTCATGTCCCTCACCACTTGCCATGCTCGCACATGCTTGCTTTCTTTGCCAGCCCGGACATGGATGCCGGTTCTCCGAAAGAGAAGGACGCCGGCTATGGATATGTGCGCCGCCGCCTCAACAAATACCTCCGCGCCCGTCCAAAGAAGCAAGAGCTCGTCTCAAAGGGCATCATTGAATGTGCGTGTGGGTGTGTACATGTGAGCGTCAGTGAGTGTGAGTGTGAGTGAGATTGTGTACGTGTGTGTGATGGTGTGTGTACACGTGTGCGTGAGTGTGTGTATGTGTGTGTGTTGTCGTTGTTCGTTGCTTGTGTTTATTCTTGGGCGTGATTTGCTTGTGATCGACTTGACGGCGACATGTGTCTCCTCTGACCGCTTGCGTGCCTGTAACCCATCACCGCAGCCACTAACTTGTCATCACCACCACTGTCACTACAGTTCCTGTCTTTGGCGGGACCATTTCGCACCAAGTGGATCTCGAGCGGTCTGTTGCCTCTGTCCCAAACGTCCCCATCATCGTCGTCAAGGTATGCGTGTGTGTGTGTGAGTGAGTGTGCGTGTGTGCGCGCACGCGTGTGTGTGCCTGTGTGTGTGTGTGTGTGTGCGCGCGCGTGTGTGTGAGTGTGCGCGCGTGTGCGTGCGTGCGTGTGTGACTAACTCCCCCTCCTTCCTTTGTCTTGCCTTCTCTGTGCTTGTACGTCTGCAATTGCCTGTCGTTTGATTGCTGTCTTGGTGCGACCTCTTTGTCAATGGTTCCTCTTGCTTTCTTGCCGCTGTTGTTGTTGTCCCCGAATTTGCAGTCCTTACACCATGCACATGTGCACACATGCACGCTGTTGTTGCTTTGCAGTGCGTGCACCGCGTGGAGAGGTCACTGCAAGAGCAGGGCATTTATCGCGTTCCAGGAAATTCCTCACAAATCCAACACCTCGTCGCAGAGGCAAACGCAGGTGCGCACAGTGCTGTCCACTTCTTCACACTGTCGGCACTGAATCACGTTGCTGACCTTGCACCCTTCCAACGAACAAAACGCCACACACGCACAGGCACACACACACGCACACACACACACACACATGCGGGTGTTCACACGTACTCCTTGCGCTGCCCTGACTTCTTGCATACCCTTCATACAGACTGCACAACGGTGGACGTCGAAGGCATTGACGATGTGCACGGCGCCGCTGGGCTGCTCAAGCTCTATTTCCGCGAGCTTGCAGACCCGCCCTTCACCGACGACAAATACGCAGACTTCATCGCCGCAGGAAGTACGCATGCGTTCCTGACATGTATGTGTGTGTGCGTGTGTGTGTGTGTGTGCGTGTGTTTCGGTCACTTGGTTGCTTGCCGCTTTCTCCCCTTCCCCACATCTCCCTCGTGCGTGTGCCCTTCAGCTCCCCTTGTCATTCACTCATCAACACAAACACCCGCGTCACTGTCCATATCACAAACAACAGAGATGGCTGATGCGGGCCAGCGCCTGCAAACGCTGAAATCGCTCTTCCAATCACTACCGGAAGCAAACAAGGCAACGTTGCTATTTCTCTTCCAGCACCTCGAAAGGTGCGTGTGTGTGTGTGCGTGTGTGTGTGTGCGTGTGTGTGTGTTTGTGTGTGCTTGCAGTCCAGCTCGTACGATGCTATTCTTCTTGTTGACGCCATATAGTTGCAGTTGCTTCCGCCATTCCCCCCCTCCTCAGTATCTTCGCACATTCACACGCTTCTTCTTGCTCCTGTCTGTTCGTCTCATGGCGTGTTTTGTTGCTCCACTACCAGGGTTGCCGCCCAGGGCGCGGTGAACAAGATGCACCTGAACAACCTGGCCATCGTCTTTGGACCGGTTAGTTCCATTCATTCATTGTTGACACTCACCCTTCATAGTGGTGGTGATGATGATGATGACGACGATGGTGATGTGTGTTGTGGTGCTTGATGTGGTGCTTGATGGCGTTCCTCGTTTCATTTTCTACTGACACACACACACACACACACACACACACACACACACACACACACACACACACACAGACGCTGCTGCGGAGTTCAGAGCCGACACTGGATGCGATTGTGATGGATGCGCCGTTTCAGAGCAGCGTGGTTGAAGAGTTGCTGCGAAACCAGGACCAACTGGCATGAAGCGGGCAGTACCCCCCCCCCCACCGCTCGTCACGTCCTCTCCCTGCTGTGCATAGGTCTTCACGCACATGTGCGTGCTTCTGTTGTTTTCGTGTCACCTTGGATTGGCGTCTTCCATGTTTGTTTGCAATCGCGCATTTGCATGATTGCTCGCATTACGAGTGCTTCGTTTCTTCCTCCACGACAGCTGCAGTTTTGGGTTTGCGCTCTTTTCCTTTGTGCACCTTGCATCATTGCTTGGCTGTTTCGCCAATCGGCTCGCTTTTCCTCTGATCACCAATCCTGCATGGAGGCTCATGTCAGTGTGTCAGCGAGTGAGCCAGTGGGCAATCCCGCCTGTCAATCAAGCAATTATGCTGTCACCGTCCTTGCTGCTTCCCTCTTCACATCGCCTTCGCACATATTGTTTCGAATAACACGATGAAACCGCTCCCAAGACATTCGCCGTCCTCACAGGATACCCCGTGGACCATGATTACCATGTTTTTATGTTCACTCTGCCCCCGCACATCACGATTTGGTCAGATCAAACGTGTGTTCGCACGAAAGCTTGCTCTGATGGTCAAGAAACAGTGGCACAAAGCCAGAACCACGCGACGTTGTGACTCAAACAAAGCAGTAGTTGTTATTTCATGCTGCCTCTTGCTTGACTTCTTTCTTGATGTCGCTCTGTCCTTCGCTGGGCTGTCGCTCGTCGTCTTGGGGGTCTGCTTCCTCCTTCGCCGCAGTGGCCGTGGATTGTGGAATTGCATCAGTCGAGTGTCGGTGTACCAGCCCTTGGAGCTGTTGGAAGAACTGGAGCTTGTCCGTCCATCTGCGGTTAATGGTCGTTTGGTGAGTGACGGACAGGGCGCATGCATTCAGAAGTAACATAACACTCGATTGCGACGTTGAGTGAAAGTTAGGGCAAGCAGGCAGGCAGGCATGAACAACATGATGCGTGGCTTGCGGTGCAAATCACAAAACGAGCGTTGGGGGCGCGTGTGGTTACCTTGGGAATGCTGCGCCACGTGGGCTTGTTGATGGCATCACAAACACGGGCACCCCCTTTTCAGAAGGTTGGGCAAGCGGTGCAGCGGAAGGTAAGGTTGGCTTGTAGTGATGGACAAAACAAACAGGTGAAACAGAAAACACACTGTATAAATACACGCACACACACGCACTGTCCACATACACATACACGCACACACATACACACACAAACACGCACACTGTGTACATACACAAACACACACACACACAGAGTGTACATACTCAGTGTCAACGCGAGTTGTCTCATCAAGTGTGGATGATCATATCGCATCAAGTACGTACGTGAATGCTGGCGTCTTGCAAACCATATGAACAGCGCTTCTGATTCGAAAAGATTTCGTAAATGCCTGATGCACACAACATGACACAACATGACACATGACAAAGCACAATACATCACGCACACACATGTATGCACACACACATGTATGCAGGTGCGACAGTGATGAGTACACAAAAATCAGGAAGGAACGATGGCTGATTGCTTGCAAGCAAGCAACAGGCGTCAGAAAGGCGCACAGCTGGGCGTACCTTTGCCGTTGAAGCAGACAACACGAGGTCGATAATTTGCCACCACTGCCATGACGTGCTGGGTACCGGCCTTGATCTCGTGTCTGGCACCAGAGAAAATAGAGTTGTGCAAACACACATCAAGGTGAGGAGACAAGCATAGGGAAAGCAGGTGATGTGATCAGCAGCATAACAGAGACATGGAAAACAGGGTGCGCACGCAACAGTACCGATGAGTTTGCTCGATGAAACACCCAAAAACACGCGCATACACGCGCTCATGCACAGGCATACACAAGCATGCACAAGCAAAAACACGCAAGCATGTACAAGTAAACACAAGCATATACAAGCAAACACACGCAAACACACGCCAACACACCCACACATGCAGACACATGACCTGCTTCGCTCACTTGGGGAGATCTGCCATGCCGCGGGTGGTGCGGCTGACCATGTTGGTGAAGCCGATGCCGTAGTTGATGCAGTTGAGGTCATCCTCGTAAGAGAGGCGAACGCCCTGCGGTAGCAAGCCAGACGCATTCAGGCATGGCCAAAAGTGGTTGCCGGGGCCAGCATAATGGTGACCGCGGGCACTGCTCCACACGCCTGGATTGATACCGACAAACAGCACAGCCAAGTCGTCGCTCAGGATATCTGGTAGCTTGAGCTGTAAGGCGTCAGCTTCGCGCACACCAGCGCACACACGGCCCTTTTTGAACACGCGCCCGCGGGGCACGAGGCGGTCCAGCCGCTTGCTGAGGCTCTTGCCGGTCCTGTGCTCTTGCTTTCGAAGTTTCGCACGGGTCTTCTTCGGCGAGGATGTTGGTGACGGAAGCTGCCGCTTATGGTCATCGTGGTGGTGGTTGTGGCTGCTGTGGTTGTGTTTGTGTGCTTGGTTGCGGATCTGTCCCTGGTCGTGGGTGTGGTGTTGTTGGTGGTGGTGACGTTCTTGGGCTGCTGTTTCACTCGAGGCTGCCTGAGCCTGGGCAGCGATCCTGGCACTTCGTCGCCTCTTGGCGATGAACGTTGATAGCGATGACTTTGTCGTCGTCCTCGTTGCCGTTGCCGTTGCCGTTGTCGCTATTGCCGTTGTCGCTATTGCCGTTGTCGCTATTGCTGTTGTCATTGTTGTTGTTGTTGTTGAGGAGCTGGATGTTCTTGTCTCGCTCTCCCCTGGCTCCTCCTGCTCTGCCTTGGCTACCCTTGTTGTTCTACCCATCGTGCCAGGCAAATCCTGCTGGTAACCTCGTGCCCCTGCTTCTTGTGCTACGCTTGCTTCTTGTGCTGTTGTTGCCTCTGCACTGCTCTGGCTGTGAATGCACGTGTGCGATTGGCGCCGGTTGTGCTGTGGCGTGGTCGTCGCCTTGTTCGCATCGCTGCACCTGCTCTTGGCTGTCCTCCCACCCACAGCGTCAGCAGCGTTGTTGGCTGGGAAGAACCGGCTGCGCATTCTATGTAAGATTCATGCGAAAATTCTGGCCACTCTGAATTTGGATAAATGTTTGAAGATATCGCACAAGAATCGATGCACGGCTCAGCATTCACGCCGGCAGAGTCCAGCCAAGCACCACACCCCAAACAGCAACAGCGTGCTGAACTGCAGAGCGAGGTAATGCAAGGTGCTGTGCTCGGTGTGACATGGCGTTGTGCTTGGCAGATCTGAGGAGGGGGAAGGGAAGGGAGGGAGATACTGCAATGGCGATGATCCCAGGAAGCCAGCACAGCACAGGCACACGCCTGTAGTTCAGCTCGTCTCACACATTCCATGAGCGAAACACTCACTCTCAACACCCCCCCCCCACCACTGCTGTTTTGTACTGCGCTTCCTTGCTGTGCTCTGCGACGTCATTCTCCACTCCATTCCACTCCACTCCACCCCACTCCGCTCCACCCACTCCGCTCAACTCCACTGTTCGCCTTTGTGTTGTGTTGGTGTTTCGTTTGCAGCCAGACCCAGTGACAACGTTGCTGCTTACGCGTGTGCGTGCTGACCTGAGAACAGCAGGCACCAAAGCACCCCCTCCGCCTCAACCCAACGACAACGACAAGTGTTGCTCAGTTGCAGCAGACAACCCTCGGCTCAACTGTGAAGCACCATGTCCCACGTCACGTTTGAGGACCCACCAAGTGGTGGCAACGATGACGATGACTCCCTTTTCGACCAAGCCATGTGCTTTGGCGACCACGTCTCCTTCTACGACGCAGAACACGCCGGCTATGTGTTTTGTGGCATCTCAGGGTCAGTGCATACATGTATGAGTTGGTGTGTGTATGTGGGGATGTGAGGCTGTGTGTGTATGTGTATGAACTGGGCTTTCACAGCTACTTCATGACATGCTTCCGTGTCTATCGCAGTGTACACTGCGTCGAGTGTGTAATGCGTGGGCGTGTTGTGTGAGTGCGTGACTTAAACTTGAACTGAGACTCACGCATGAGAACTCATTCGCCATCAATATGCTGACCTTGTTCATTCCAGGAGCGTGCACGGCAGCCTGATGGTCAAGCCCTCCGATCGGCTGAACCCAGACATCGGCAACTTCAAGGTCACTTAGAGTGCCATGCGCTTGTTCCACAACTGCTTCCCCTGACCCACTTCCTCTTTGTGCTTCTGCTCTCATTACCGACCGCGAACCTACTTTCCTCCCCTCCTCCACGCTGTGCTCACCGGAAAATGTGCTGTACTGTGCTGTGCTGTGCTGTGCTGTGCTGTGCTGTGCTGTGCTGTTCCGTGTTATGTTGTCATTGGCCCCTTCCCCTCCGACAATGCTGCAGACTGCCGTGTTCCAAGTGCGTGCCCAGACCAAGTACAAGGCGCAGAAGAACCTGCGCATGGCCCTGCAGCGCCTGCGGGACGACCAGAATAGGCCCGACCTGTCCCTGGAAGACGCCATGCTCAGCGCAAACGAAGAGCTCCTGGAGCTCCACGCACTCGCAGAGGCCGAGAAGCATGGTGCGTGCTCGTGCTAGTGCTTGTGCTTGTGTTTGTGTTTGTATGTGTATGTGCATGTGTATGTACGTGAGCGCACTCGCTCGTGTGTGTGTGTATGTGTGTGTGTTGTTGTTGTTGTTGTTGTTGTTGTTGTTGTTGTTGTTGTTGTTGTTGTTGTTGTTGTTGTTGTTGTTGTTGTTGTTGTTGTTGTTGTTGTTGTTGTTGTTGTTGTTGTTGTTTTGCTTTGCTTTGTGCGTGTGTGTGCGTGGTTCCTCTGTGTTGTGAAATGATGGATTGCCACACGCAAGTCGGTCGTCCCACTGCTCTGAGAATACCTGTCCCTCCTCCCCTGTCTATTGTGTTTGACATCTTTTCACGGCCATCCCCACCCCTTGCAGACAACCAGCTTGAGCAAGAGCGCCGCAAGGGCGATCACGTCGTTTATGGCCAAGTGGTGCAGCTGTACCACAGCTTCTCTCACCTCTATGTCCGCGTCAGCTCGACCGTCACCTCCGCCGTCGAGCCAAGGTGCTGTTGGATTGCGAGATGCCGGCGCTTTTGTTCTTGCCATCATCGTGTGTGTGTGTGTGTGTGTGTGTGGAGCAACGTATTCCTCCGTCTCCACGTTCCGTGAGCCTTGTAGTGTACAGCGACCCTGCCTCAATCCCCAACACAAA